TATAAGACAGAAGAGTAAAAGAAAATATTTTTTTTCAATTAACTCATGTATTGTTAAATTTTTATTACATCATCATTTCGTGTATGGAGAGTCTATTTTACTTCAAAGAGTTTCTATTTCCTTTGTGTCTTTTGTTGAATTTCTTAGAAATACTTCGATAATTGAATTTTATAAATTTTATACCTATCGCTGTTATTTTTAGGTTGTGTAGTCTAGTGATTGAAACCCTTACAATTTCATAACTTCTGTCTAGTTTATGTCCTTGTATTATAATATAGTTTCTACAGCTATGTCCGATTTTCTTCAAAGTTTCATAACTCAATCTTAGTAAAAGTAATTAATACAAAAACCATATCTTTTATTTACTTTATTTCAGTTATTATTTTATTTGTTTTTTTCTTTTTTTCATAATTTTGAAATTCGAACGCATTTGAACATAATTTCATTTGATGTTAAGAGATGATATGATCTAAGATGAAGCACACTAACTCAAATGTCTATTCACACTAAACTTCAAAGAAAAAATAAAATTATAAGATCTTAAGTAATGTTAAAAAGAGAAAAGATTTTATTTTCTTTGTTTATTTTTATATAAAAAATAAACTAAAAGAAGTATACGACCATTAAAAAAAATTCACCTATTGAAAGATGCATTTCAGCAAGTAATGTGGGCTTCTATTTTTTTTTTTTAAAAATTAGAGATATACTTATCTACCAATGTAAAGCCGGGGTAGATCGCTAGTATACTATGATATTTGATACTTTAAATATATTTGAAAGATTGTTCTATTCCATACATTTGTATCAATGTTTTTTGTCATCAAATTACGTCAAATGAGGTATCGTTGAACATAATTTCTTTAATACAATCAGAGCTGCTCCCAGAGTTTGGATTAAGTGCCACCTTAGTGAAATACAAGTCTCCAAAGTATCGTAAAATTAGAAAAGTTTTACCTCGCTTAGTTTTTTTCAGTACGTAAGTATGCATGTACAGAACTGAACCGAATTTATAGATTTTCTACTTAATGTTACTTCTTACGTCTTAAACTTTCCGTTCCTTATAATATACTGGCAGTTCCCCGCGACTCTGCACATAAGAATCTGTACATAAAGTATCATGTATTAAGTCAGATCATAACCAACCCGTTATATGATCGTTTTCCCGCTATTATATATATATATGTATATATATATGTATATATATATGTATATATATATATATATATATATGTATATATATATATATATATATATATATATATATATATATATATATATATATATATATATATATATATATATATATATATATATACGTACATTAAGATATACAAAGATAAAATTAAAAACTATATTATTTTAGTTTATTAACTAACGTTATTATATTGTTTGTGTTCGTGGTTATTGTGGTCGCGCTGGGTCACTTGTAAACCTGTTTACGAGCTGCGAATGGATTGATGACAATGCAATTCATTTATATTTTGTACAAGTTCAAATGTAAATCTACCCACGCAATTGCAACATTTTAATTTTTACCTATTTGTCGCTGGAAGAAGGTAGTATCTATGATACAGGCTCGGCCTAGTATAGATGCTACTGGTAAATCATATGTATGATGCGTATTTAACAAAAATGTAATAGTTTATAAGAAGAATAACTGTAACTACTTAAGTTGGTGTCAATAAAATATGTTATTATTTATATATATATATATATATATATACACTAGAGGCATCGCTTACTATAACTATATTGTTATGATTATATGACTAGACTATATTGCTGTTGGAAGTTGATTCCAAAGCACTCTTTGTACCTTGATAAACGCACAGTGGAGGACCGCCACTCATCCAGATGATTGAGATGGAACTTTAGTTTGTGCCTGGTTGTACGGTATATAAATGTATGATATGTATACAAATTCATGTCCGTTCAGATGTTTAAGCATAATGAAGTAACAAACAAAATTATCTCTATAAACTTTCACCTTTATAATATTAGTACGATCTTGATATCAGGACTAGGTATGACTTTACAAATTTTTGGAGTGACATGTTTAATAATTTTAATTAATCCCTTAAAACAATATATGTATTAAACCACACCTTTACTCATTTTATTATTTCCTGAATGTATTTGACTAATAATTTAATGACGTTCAGCAACTTTCCGGCATCTAAATTTGGACCATTTGCAGACATTCTCGAATGAATTCGCCAATTCATGAATTTTGGGAAACACCAAGCCCAATCATCAAATACCGCCAGATCCATTAATTCTCTATGTACTTCTTCAGGGGGTATTAGATTATCTTTGAAGTGATCATGTATGGAAATTTCATGGAGTAGCTAAGAGTCTCTTATACGTGACGGTTTATTTACTAATATTAATATATAAAAAATAGTATGTATAAAACCAATTAAATCTACACTCTAACCTCTGAACTGGTACACTCCATTATTGCTGCTGATAAACATATTTATATATCATGTCTTATGAGTAAATTTATTGTACTATAACAAAAATTAATCTAAAATAGCCACTTTGAGTAATTTATAATAAGCTCTAAGAAAATTATTGGTATATTTGCAATATATCTAATAGACATTTTTTATTTATGAGACTTGATAAAGTAGGCCAGTTTCTTTTCTAACTTTTATCTTAATTATAGCTAAGATCGGCTTTCTAGGCGATAAAATGGGCCATTTTATACTTAAAAATTAGTGATACCAACTAACATAAAATAAATAGAAATATAATTTTTAGATTTCAAGTGTAGTAGGTGATATAGCATAAAATTACAAATTACAAAGATCTTAGTCCTCAGGAATAGGTTTATTATTCAAAGATGCGTAAAAACAAAATTATATTTGATTCATGTAGCTTCTGCCTGTAACTTTGCCCTTGTGGATTTTGAAAGCAAATAACTACATTCAGGTGTTACAAAATAAGACATACCTACACTAAATTTGAAATTGGATATTTTGAAAAATAATTTTGAAAACCTCATTCAATTTGATTTTTGTGTAATAGTTTTAATCAGATAGACAAAAATTCCCAAAAATATTGTTATGTCTTCTATTGCTTTTATTAAGTACCCTCATATTTTTTTGTATATATCTCCCATATACAACTCTATTATATTCATAAAATTTTATCTATTTTCGTTCATAAAACTGTAAATATGAATTGAAAATGCCACGAATCGTTTAATATCCTGTTATAATTCAATAAAATAGACACACTATTTGATACTAGGTAATAGATGTCAGATGCCCAGATCGTATTTTAGATATACATTTTGTTTGCTTTTCTTTGTACCTACAAGTTATAATTATACGACTACACACTCTTGTCGTGTCCTTACAGCGATATCGATGGATAATCATTATATTAATCTGGATTTCTTATTAGATACGACTAATAAAGAACTAACAGTGAATTAATAGTGTATCTGCTAGTTTCTTATTTGAGGTTATTCACTAAGGTCTTGTCTTACGTCTTTAATTATCTAACAAAAGGAAAATATATAAAAGAGATACAGATATAAAGAGGTTAATATTGAGTGTGTGTTTATTTCTAAAATATTGTAGGCTATACAGAAAAGTTTCGATATTTCAATATTTTAATTTTAATTTGTCGCAGCGTTTAGAGCATAAACTTTTTATTAATACTATAAATTTTTAATTATGCCTATACAACTGAAGGGGTTTGAATAAAATAAGCTACTTTATATCACTTTTAATAATCGGTATTTTAAAAGTTGAGAAAACTAAGAATTATTAAGAAGGACAAAAAGAAGAAAAATAATATAACTATTTTATTTGATTCTGGCTATTCTAAAATTTACCTTTAATATTCATGAAATAGTAAATAAAAAGTTATTTTAATTTAAAAACTAAACTACTGAGTCCATTTTTTTATAACGCAGAAGGCAAACGAGCATGCGGCTAACCTGACTATAAGTGACTACCGCTGCCCATGATCACCGGCAACACCAGAGGCATTGCAGGTTTCGATAAAATTTCTGTGGAACCAATCTATAAATAAATCCTTTCAGGTAAAAAATCTGATGTTTCTGTTTACCCCAATGAATGACAGACTTGATAGATGTATATGTATATAGGTAGGTATGTATATAAAAAAAAATATTTTCTAAATCTGTTTATAACTGACGGAGTTTTGTGACGAGTTGTGTGAGTGAGATACCAAACATAAGACAACATACAAGCAAATTGAAAACCTCCTTCTTTTTGAAGTCAGTGGAAAGGAAATATAAACAAATATATAAAAACGGTCGTTTGTCCTATTTTCCAGCAACATCTTCCATAAATAGAAAGACGAAAGTGTGAATTATATTATATAATTTAGTGTAGTTTAATACAATAAACATATAAATGTTCAGTATAATTAAAAAAAATAACTATTCTTATATCTTTATATGTTTTAACGAACAATACAATCTCAGAAACAATAGGAGGTATTTAATTACTTTTCTATTTAAGTACCTCTTACAGATTAAGAGCAGATTAGGGGATAGATTAGGGTCAGGTACGGACCGATTATGTATGGGATGATGTGTATAATATGCGTCATATAAAATAGAAAATGATCCTAAGAAGCTTTCCCAGTACAGCATCGATATGTATTTTATATTATTCAAAGGACTGAATATATATATTTAAGTCTTCCACTAACAAAATAAAAATTGGAAACTGGAATTCTCTTTCTGGCCACATGTTTTTCTCTGCCTATAATCCTCAAGTGAATTTTTAAAGTACAATAAAAATTCGTGCTATGAACTTCATCTTTAACCTCATCATCACTTCCTATCAGATGAGATCGAGATTAAGGGCGAAACACCTTAATGGTACAAAGGGACTTAAATAGTCAAGTTATCACAGCCATGAACATAATTTTTAGACACTCTTGCTCCACCCAAGTGTGGTCAATTTGTCTATTAAAAACATTAAAATTTTGTGCGTGTTGTAATAACTTACCGGTTCATTGTTGACAAAAAAGGAGAGATTGGCAGCCGGCAGTGAGTCCCGGCTGATACATTCTGCTTTGAGCTTCATTCCTGCCTTATACCTCAATTTTATTCCGTGCAATTCTGGGCCAGATTTTGGTAGATCTGCCAAAAAGAAACATTATTTATATTATTCCATATAGAGTAGAGTTTGATTTAACTAGTGTGTAAATGTACTTGACATTTTTATATGACGAAGTTGATGTCTAAGTTGAATGGAAGTAGTAATTGTTGCTTAGAGATTGATGAGCTGTTCATATAGACATCATAACGCTTTACGTCTTCCTTCGTCCTATGTACGGCCAAGGAATGGAACTCACTCCCAGCTTATGTTTTTCCATTCAAATATAATCTGCACCAATTAAAGCAAATGTGAATAGGCTATTCGTGGACCCACGAGCTCCATTTTAGTCATGTCATTTTTTCACCATCTACATTCTGAAGTACCCAATATATAGACCTACCCAATACCTAGACATCGGATCTCATGGAACGACAGCGAAATAAGTTATGATCTTTTTCTTCGTTTCAGCATTTCAACAACAACAACGACAGTTGTATCATATATTTAATCATAATTATGATACCTATGTTAAAATCTAATATATAGTTGCGATTCGATATCGCACAAAATCGATATTACCTACACTAAAATTGGATTGATGAACTTAACTCTGAATAGTAGTTATTGAAATTGCTCCATTGTCTTTTGAATAACTGATTTAAGTAGAAGCTAAATTTACCAAATAACAAATAAGTAAACAGTTATAAGTTTTCCAATACCTTAAGTAAAGCTATCATATTTGAACGCACAAAGTCCCTTAAGTCTAGACAATTAATTACTAGATCACTCACACATTATGAGATGCGGGCGTTTACTTTAATTTGATGTGAAATGAAATTTGATACCACGGCTTTTCTCGTCTGTTTTATAATAAAAAGTATCCAATATGTATTAATAGGATTATGATCTTTTTACTTATGTACTTTAAAATGACATATAAGCTTTCCTAACCATTATATAAATAATGCATTAGATTAAACCATATATATATTTTTTATAACACCAATGTATTAAAAAAGCATACAGCCCGTCAGACGATAAACGGTCACTGTAGCTAATGGGCGCCTGCAATACTAGAGGTATCACGTATGCGTTGACGACCCGGAAAGACCTTAATATACACTTTTTGATAAATCTTATACTGTAGTCTCTAGGAAAAACCTCGACAGGGACCTCATTCCACAGCTTGAGTGTTCGCGGAAGAAAATTCATTTGAGACCGTTTCGTTCAAAGTAATCAGTATAATTCATCCCAATTATCGTAATGTTATAAAATGTAAAGTAAATATAAGTATGTAAATGTAAGACTAAACCAATCAAATAAACCGTAAATATACGATTACGCTTATTGTCACGTTAACAAAGTGTGATTAGCTGCAAACAAACTCCCATATTTACTCGTACAATATTAATAGAAAGTTGGATGTTGTTTTAAAAATGTTTTTAAAAATACTTTAGTTTGTGGGCGGTTTAATATTCTCAATTCGCAAAGAAAACCATTGTGATTTTAAATTTAGAATTACGATATCATAGGCAGATATTTATACGTCTGCCTATATAGGTATAGCCAAGTTAATTTTACTTGTATATAAACAAGAAAAATGTTAGAAAATACTATTTTTATTCTTTTAGTTATAAAAAACTACTGTAATAACTTAATAACTTTGACTAAACTATAACCTAACCTATATTCTTGACCACGATTACGAGCGCCATGCATGGTCGTAATCGTGGTCATGAAGTCAACGTCTCTGATGTAAATATAGAAAATTTTAAAAATGTCTGGTACAAAAGGCGAACTTCATATTATATAGGATTCTCTCCCAGTTGACTAATATAATATGTATATTATAAATAAATAATACTAAATTAATTTAGTACGTGGTATTCGTATTTATAGTAAAAAGTAGGTTAGGTGAGATTTGTTTTGTGAAATCCCAAAACTTTTTTTTTTATAATATCCTTACATTTACCAACTCATATTGGTAAATATTAAGATTTACTAACTAATTAAAATTTACCAATCTACGAGCATTTACAGTAACACTAAATATTGCTTATATTAGATTTTAGTGAACGCTAAAATACGAGCTAAGAACGAATCCTAAACTTTCAAAAGGAGAAGAATTTCAATTAGTCTTTATTTTTTGCATAGATATATATTACGCAATGATGCAGCCAATTTTAAATCGATATTGATAATTTGCCTAGTACTAATTCCATTAGGGGCTATACTAGAGTAAAGAGGGCTATGCTCGGAGTTTCTATGCTGACAGAATTCGAAACGAGGATATCCACAAAAGAACCAGAGTAACCGACATAGCCGGAAGGATAAGCAAGCTGAAGTTGCAATGGGCTGGTCACATAGTTCGAACAACCAATGAGGAAGAAAGGTTTTTGAGTGGCGACCCTGTACGGATAAGCGCAGTGTAGAACGTGGTGGCTCAGGATCGTTCCTTATGACAGTCTATGAGGGACGCCTATATGTAGCAGTTAATGGACTATGGCTAAAATTATGAAATAATGATGACTAATACCATTATTATTTTGTAACGATTCAATGAGAATAAAACCAATATGGCCGATTTTCATTACAGAGCATAATAAAGACTACTTATTTGAAGAATCTATTTAAAAAATCTATTTGTGAATATACAATTACGTGGACTAATTTTAAATATTTTTAATATAATATTTCTACGAAGGACCTTGTCACTATCAATTCGTTTTATTTGTTTTAAAATAAAAATAACGAGAGAGAAAAGAGAGAATTAGAATCGCTGTTGTTTTTTGCAATGCAGATTTTATACATGGTAACACCATAACTGCGGATCTATTGTAATATGCTCCCTATTATACATTGCCGTGTGGTCCTGATATAGAATGGCCACCCCTTTCTTTCCCGTGAGTGGAATGAGAGCTTAACGGTCGAAGGATAGGCAGCAGTGTTCCTTTTAAAACATCACAAAATTCTAACTGCGGTTGCCAACCCGCCTGTCAAACATGACAAATATTGGCCTTGGATAAGCATATATTAGCAGTTAACGGCTGATATGATGATGATAATGATGATGATGACTATAATACAGTTCTCAGTACACTCTCAACTTGCTCTTAGTCCGATCTCATCCTGGTAAAATATTATTACGTAAGAAATACTTGAATTCAAACTACAATCCAGGCCCATTCCGATCAATTTCGAACTGTTTCTACCGACTGACGTTCTACTCCAAGAGCGAAGTGAGTACGAACCGAGAGCGACACTGCACTAGGGATCTAGTCTAATTCTTCCAAACTTAGAGTACGGGATATCCACGAAAACGTAGCGTGCATAGAAAACGTAGCATCTATCGGTCAGGATTTTTTTGAACCACTAAACTATACAAACCAAAATTGTTTTCATTTTTGGTCCATATTACTTAGGAAATAATGTCTATTTTCTCTAACAAAACTTATACTTAAAGGGCTATTAATGATTTCAAATTCACCCTATATATTTTAGTACTACCTACTATCGTATAGTGGTATACGATCTCCATATTTATCAACTTCTATCACATGCGAATTGCTTTGTAAAAAATAAGATCCCAAATTAATTCTTAGACGAGCTATATAGAAGTAAGGGATAAAATTTTTAGAATTGACTTGATTCTGGGTATTTTCAATAGCGTTGTCTGTGGGCTGTCTGATTTCTCACAACAAGTTTGAAACCCAAGAAATTGGTAATCACACCAATTGGTGTAGATTTTTTTATTATTCTAACCGTTATTATAATATTATGAATGTAAAAGTAAATTAGTTTTTGTTTCCTCATTGATATAATAATTCTGTGGAAATGCTTTAACGACTTAACTATTCATCATAAAGTTTGATGTGTATGTAGTATTTAATATGAAGGACCAAAGTCCCGGTTACAATTAGTAAATATAGTAAATATGTAATTGCATTAAGATTTCGCATACAGTAATTATATGTATATTGAACATAGACTATTTTTATCTTGCTCAACCAGTATGATACGCACAACAAGCAGACTAGTTGTAATATAAACTTACCCACAACGTACATGAAGGCATGAACTTGTGCCGTTTGGAAGGATGGTGCCTCTGCAGACACCTCGCATGTGTACCGGCCCTCAGCCGTTGCTGACATCGCAGCTACTATTGTTAGCCGTTCCGCACCAGTTGCATCTTCCTTTCAACAAATTACAAACAAAATTATAATCAAAAACATAAAATTATCATCATATATTATATGTAATGGCATGTTGTATATACCAGGCCAGTCCATATCACACATCATATTATATTGTACATAATTAGGATCTAAGAAAAATATTACGGCAATACGAAGTTCACTGAAATTAACGACCTCCGTGGTATAACAGTAGGCAGTAGCTGCGTTAATAAGATCCCGGGTTCAATGTCGGTCTGTTTATAAAACTTATATTCGTAATTAGTTCGGGTACTTATATATGTTATGATCAGGGGGGTTACCATCAAATATCCGAAATTTCGGGGTTAAATGAAACGCAAATTTGATGTTAAAATTACATAATTAACATTGTTTAAAAATAATAAAAATGTTAAAATATCCTTTCTCTGGACTTTTATCGAAGAATTTATGTATAGCAAAATATTAAGCTCCATTTACTGGGTCGATTTCGGTATGAAAGAAAATATCCTATATATAATATATAATAATAAGTAGATCTCCAGATAATGGGGCCTTTTCTAAGATGCCATTTCTCGAAACTTATCATCTCTAAAATTAAAATTTCAAGTTGATATCACAGCGAAATCTTTATTCTGAGAACTAATGTGAACTAAATTTCTAATTTAAGTAGGGGGAAAAAAGATTGTTAATAATGGAGATTCGTAACCCTATTACTAGCAATATACCCTATCAAGTCGGCATCTTTGCGGTTCCCCCTGGAAACCATCGTAATGAAATCATCAGTGAATTTGTTACGATGGGCTAACTGGCCTGCTTCATTTTCACCTATCATTCCTCACTGCTGCTCCGCCAATGTATACCAATAGCGCAGGCGGGGTAACCATTCTATTATCATCCATTAAAAAAATAGATTTAAGTCCAAATGATTATAAATTTAGTATATTATCATTATCACTACATAGTATAAAACAAAATCGCTGTCGCTGTCTGTCCGTCCCTATGTATGTTTAAATCTTTAAAACTACGCAACGGATTTTAAAGCGGTTTTTTTTTTATAGAGTGATTCAAGAGGAAGGTTTATATTTATAATACATGCATAATATTGTAGTGAAACATTGATAAATTTAGACATTACACATTTTGTAGTAAGTAGGTATATTTAGTATCAGCATTGCAGCCATGCAAAGCCGGGGCAGGTCGCTAGTAGTCTATGAAAGAAAATTTTTGCGAAACTCTCATCACCATCATCAGATAAGTTCTTTAAATTAATAAGTTTAGAAAAAGGACGCAGAATCGATCTCATTTTATCCCAAAGATGAGCTAGTTATTATGGGACTTTACTGATTTATTATTTAATTGGCATAGTTTAGTTATATTAATTTTTATTTATTTTTTTCTATAGAAATGTTGAAGGAAGAAATGTAATGTTACTTTGCCTGTATGTCCATATCATAAAAGCTTTTTTTATAGTTTGTGATACAGTATGTAAGGCATCTCGTCCTCGCTATTGGATACGGGTGACGGGATGCTTATAGTAGTGATACATTGTGTGTTAATTAGAAATTTAAGCGCGATATTTGAGGAACATGAGGAAGAACGGCCGAAGACGGCAATAAGGTTAGGATATTTGGCACAACATTATTAACAAATATGTACACCTAAACAACTTTATAGGTTTTTGAAAAATGAGGTGTGGTTAAATCAGCGATCCCTAAAGTGGAATTCGCGGAACCTGGGGGTAAATTATTTATACAGTGAAATATGTTTATTCTTCACATTAAAATTTAAAGAAAACTATAAAGCCTCACAACATAACATTACCTAGTTGCCACGCTTGGCAGGCGAATTGGCAACCTAAAAGTTTAGAGTTTAATTTTTTTTATTGTCAAAATCATACAAATTTCAGTGTTGTATAACATTGTCACATCCACTTATTTGTGTGCAGCTCACATTTATTGATGGCAAATAAAAACACGTACAAGCATTGGCAGTAAGTGCTGGCACTTACGGTACTTGAATCAATTTACATGTATTGTGTATGTGTATATATTGCGACTAAGTGTCGTCTGCAACTTCGTTCATGTGAAATATGAGTAGATACTTTGTATAACTTTATATAAAACTCCACGAAAGGATTTTAATATAATATGCGACTTTTTTAGCTATTTATTGGCCATAAACTGCTTTAATAATTTATAGAAACTAATCACTGATATTGACAGCTCAGTGATTAGTTATAATTATTATATAAATGTTTACTTTTATTAACAACAACAACAAATAATAATCACAAAAAAGCTCGTCTGATAAATTAACAGTATTAAAAAAGTACAATGAAAAATAAAAAAAAAATCTAAGCAAAATTAAAAAAAATAACAGATATGTTTTCATAATTATCCACACCATGTTATTTTATATATAGTCATCATATAGTTTATTTTATAAAGTATTGTTGTGAAATCTAATCAAATATATTACATACACTCGAAAAGCATTACTCCCCTTTCATTGGTAGTCGGGTAATGTTATTGAAGAGATTGGAAAATATAGTGACATATTAGATTTATAATACTGATAATATCAGTAAATATTCCTAAGTTTATTTATTATTTATAACACATAACAAAATCAGAAAGCAGTCAACTGATTTTGATAAAAATTGAAGCATGGGGTCTGGGGAATTGACATGGCGTGTGAGGTCACGATAAATTTAATTTGACGGCTATTCGAAATATCAAATCTAAAATATTAAGTGTGTAAGCCTGTGAAGAGAATGGATAATTTATCTAAAAATGGTAATGGCAGGAAAGAAGCCACATTGTATATTTGATAAAAGAAAAAGAATTATTTGAATTTTTTCATACCATTCTTGTATCTCTTGATGTAATATTTAATAGCTATAATTTTAATATGTAAATAAATATAAAAACACTTGTGGAATTATAGAAATGGTATCATTTTGGAGTACGTCGTCTAAAAAATATTATGTTTATTCGTCTTTCTAGGCATTTTAGTGCAACAAGAGAACAACTTTTCCATTACAATGAAATTCCAAAAATTGTATAGAGGACAGAAAAAATATGTAAGCCATTTTATTGCATAACACATACATATATATAACAATATGGCTTACGTAATTTTTCCGCTGACAAAAAATCACTAATATGAGTGTCTACGTAGTAGTAGAATACTCTGCAGAATTAAAAAATCCTATTTATTTAATACAAGTATCCTCTTATAAAAATTAATTAAAAAAATATACTCAATGATTTCCTATCTTGACTTGATTATACCTAATTATGTTGTGTCTAGACACGATACACTACATATTTACATAAAAAATAAACTTACATATAAAACATAATTTTAATTATACTGCTTTCTGTTTCTCTTAAAATTATTAATTTTGAATAATTTATTAACATTGAAGAGTAAATTTGTAATACAATTGATTATATTACCTACTCTAACTTATATTTGCGTAATAATAAAATAATAACAGTATTACTGCTTACCTACTTAATAAATTATTTATTGTTTGTATATGATTTGTAAAATATTATAACTTACAGTAATCGTTTTTTTTTTTATAACACAGGGAGTAAACAAATATACGGCTCACCTGATAGTAAGTGATTACCGCCACCCATATGCACCCACAATACCAGAGGCATTACAGGTATGCTACCGGTTTTTAAAAAGGAAAATGCTCTTTTTTTTTAAGGTTATGATGTCGTATCGATCCGGGAATACTGCTGCTCGAAGTTGATTTTTAAAGCGTTATTGTGCGCGGAAGAAAGTGCCTTGAAAAACATACGCTACTCATGCAGATGGTTAGGCTGGAACTTTAGTTCGTGGCGGGTTATATGGTGGTGTAAATCAGCAACAGACATCAATTCAAACAATTCCTCAGAATAATTTATAAGTTATACTAATAGTTTCGAATAATAAGTCTCATGTACTATATCGAGCCAAGTTCAAATCCTACTTATTTGTAATATTAAAGCTGTTTTTAGTATTTAAATATTTGCATTATAGTTTGAATGAAACTAAAGAGGTAACGAGGTTTCCAAAAACTGATTTATAGGGAATGCTACTAGCATTAAGTCCGCCTTTTGTACTATATATTTTTTTTTGGTTAATAAAATTATTTAAATAAATATAAAAAATCAATCATATAATATTTTTTTTTTTATTTTTACAACTATCGGAACTGTTTTATGGTCGGGACAATTGTTTTCTTTTTTATCATTAAAATAGGTTATATATAAGGTACTAACTTTAAAAACGTTAAAATGAACGAAATAATTTTAATAAGTTATGATGTACATAATAGAGCACATACTATATTAATTGTTGGAATATTTTAATCATAAAACGGGGTAACAAAATGTTATGATTAAATGCTTAAAAATGTTATTTATTATAAATTATTATGAATTATTACCTTGATGCTCCTTTGCACTTTAGATTTGCTGGAAGAGAACTCTTTTAGAGAAAAGTTTGCCTTGTACATTTGCTTACCTCTGTCTTATACACTGTGTACAATAAAGTATAAATAAAGAAAGAGATTATTATTTTTATATGTGTAGTAGCTATAACCTTTGTATTAACCCCTTTTTATTCCATATTTGTTCTCGCCCACTTTTATTTAATAGTTAAATACATGAATAATACATTAAAGGCACTTGATTTAGAAATACAATCCATTTAAATACAAATGTCCACTTGAAATTTGATGGTTTGGAGAATAGTAAACATAACTATGCAAATAAAGGTGAAGGAGGATTAGAAAGGGTTAATTATTGTGAGTCGTTGGATAATCAATAATGTATCTAGGTTGTTCTATAAATTTGTTGTATTGTATTGTATTGTAAAATCTTTGAACACTGATAAATGATTTAATATACAATGGCGGACTTATCCCATAAAGGGATCTCTTACAGTCAACCTTTGTTATTGATGGACACAGAAAAAAAGCTTGACTTTTTTTGTATTATTATATGTATATAAATATA